AATTGTGTTCGCATTATTATTATTACTGCGGAAATGATTAATTGACTTGGTATCATTAAGGGAATTGGGGCCAAGGAAGGATGAGAAGTTGGATAGGTCTTTTCTGGACGCAGAGTTTGGGCTTGAGTTCGTGGATTGCCAGTGCCTTAAACCCGAACTCTGCGTACAGAAACGATTTGTCCAACCTCTCATCTTTCCTTGACCCTAATTCCCTTAGTGGTACCAACTTAATTAATCATTTCCGTGGATATAACAGATTTTTACTCTTTGAATATGAGAAAATTAAAGCAAGGTATTATTATTATCCTTATCTCCTCTTACCCCATTTCCACCCTAGTTGAACTTTTGTTTTTATATATAAATTATTCTGAACAAGTATGATCAGATTGCTCTAATGTATATATATCATCACATAGTTCTGATAAACTTCGTCTTCTTCTTATTACATTATCGAAACTTATCAAAGGGACTAATTGATTTAAACACCAAATGAATTTACAGTTAACTAATGTATAATTATAGTGACCCCAAAATGTTAATCATCATTAGCCAACTAATATGAAATGACACTTATATTATTTCTTTAGAAATTTTACATTAGTTTCATCATCAAAACTAAATTAATTTCATAAGGTCGAATAAAAAAAATATAACTAACATAATCATTTAATCATTTTGTTCATTATACAGCTGACGTTACCATGGTGACGTTTAGTTTTCTCATTCTATTAACAATATTTTCTCCACAGCAACTAATACAAATAATGTACAATGGAACTATATGAAAAATATTTTCTTTTTTTATCTAATGTAATGTGAATAACATGTTGTATATGGAAGGAACAATGTTTACGATTGTATTGTTATCATTTGAGAATCATTCAAGTTTTTATAAAGTATGTTGGTATTTTATATGTATATACATATACAGGGCAATTGTTAACTATGAGTAGTGTCAATCCTTCTTGTGTCTTGTTTTGTTTAAGAACAGTTAAAAACAATTGAAATATGATGTACTAATTTAATGTATTTATACTAGTTTATCAACGAGTTAGTATTCCTCTTCTCAATAAAAGCAAACTACAATATTTCTTTAAGTAAATTTATGTGTTCTATTTGGTGTACTCGTAAGCTACTAGTATTTGACCACAAATACCTTAGAAATATTGCTCGCATCTGCTGGGATCACCGGGTAAGTAATAGTGGGGTCAGATACAGGGTAATAAGGAATGATGGTAAATCAGTTGAAAAGGTTGGGAATCTTCATCGACTGAGATGGTTGAGCCACGTGTTGCATATGCCTGAATACCGATTACGAAGACTTGAAATGCTAACCAGTGTTGGGTATGGTTGGATGAAAGTTAGGGGCGGTCAAACCAAAACGTGGCATCAGTGTTTGAAGTCACTAACTTCTGGTTTGAGCCATGTTGGTAGATGCAAACTGCTAGGCTGGGGTCCATGTGACTAAATAGCCGATGGTCGGAGACTTTTGATGACATGGCTCAGAATCGATCACAATGACGTAGGTGTATAAACTCTCTGTCTTCCCTTAAACTAAGAGATTAAAATCGCTTCGTAACTTACTTTTTACGTACTGAATCTTCCTTCCTGTACTATGTCCTTATATGCAATCTCTCTTTTATATATTATCACCATTGAATTAACTACTTCTGCGAATCCGGTGTTCATCTTGCTGTGCTAATGCGATATGAAAAATTGGACCGATGAATATATGTGCCTCGTCCTACGTTGTAGCTGATTGACAGTTTAGTTGTTTATAGAAACCAATGTAATAATAAGAAAATCGGAATATGATGAATGTTTGATGTTATTGCTGAAAAGGATCTAGATATAAATATCAATATTGATTGAAATGATCTAAATAAGATCTCATTGTTCATTAGAATTGATCAGTTCTACATGAATAGATGTTTTCATTTGGTTTAAAAATATTAAAAGCTTTTTTGTTTTTGTTTTAACTGATAGTTGTTCTGTTGATATTTATAAAGATGAATTAATTTTAACATTCAGGATGACTTTGATTGATGACTAATAGCAAAACCAAGAGAAACAATGAATATATTACGTTCTATCATGGGACTCTTTATAAACAATGACCCTTCATGACTTCGTTAGGAATAGAGTCCAGTACTTTCAAATTATGTATATGTTATGCAAGCGTTTTCCTCAATCACTTTCACTTTAAGTAGACTTATTTATTTTTGATAGGTAAATTCATAAGTTCATTTAAGCTATTACAGGTTGTTTCAAAACTTTATCGACAATTAAAATTAAATTCATATTTTCTGTTCATAATTGAATAATATTCATGAATCGATATAAGCTAGAGTTTTAGTGAAGAGCCATGACCAATGGATTCCAGTTCGTATCGAGTAGAGGTAGGTATCTAGCACAGATAATGGATAAATGGTTGCACAGCCATTCATGTATTGATATAAGTTGGACACTAATACCGTCGGTCGTCTAATCAGCAGTCTAAAGATTAGGCGTTCGCCCACAAGAACAAAGGTCCTGGTTTTGAATCCTGTATGCACAAACATGGATGCGCACTGCTGAGGAGTTATGTAGTGGGACGAAACAGTCGTCTATTGTTTCCAGGTTTTCCATGGTGATCTAGCTTTCATCGACTCATGAATTCAGTCTTATTCTGATCATAATTAATATTCACCTTATTTAATTAGTTGATAACATTTAGACAGTTGTTTGATCCTAATCAACAATAAATCAATGTAATATATTGATATTTCTTGTATACCAAATGCTTGAATCATTAAGCTCATAATTGTTGTCTCGGCGTCATATATTATTTGTCTTTTAAACTCGAAATACCGCCTATATTTAAAAACAGTTTCTCAGGATTTAGATGAAGTGTTATGCAAATAAACATGTTGTTGAGTTTTAAATATTTAGATTCACTGGAATTCTTGACTTTTAAGAATTGTCAATGGTGAATATATCAAACAATAAAACGAGTATCAATAGAATATCTTAATTGAAGAGGAAGAATGTATTTATAACATCTCACCGAATGGATTTGAAGTAAATCCAACGTTTCGCCTGACAATCAGGTCCAAACTTTTTCAAGAAAATATAATCAAACATCAAAATTATCAAATATAAATAGGTACATGGTACTCTAGTTCACTGTATAGTGAATAGGTCATCTAATCAATGTTAACAATGTTTAAAGTAGGTAGGTATTTGCATTATTGTATACATGCTGAGATTTTATAAATATATTCTTCCTCTTTAATGTCATACATTAACTCATCGCTGAAATACTGTGAAACTATTCAATCAAATTTAGACGAAAATTCTTATTTAGAATAGCTTAATGTTCATTTCACTACTTTTAATGGAAATAAATCCCATTTTAAAACCCTGAATATATATATATATATATATATATATATATATATATATATATGCATGTGTATATTAAGCCTAGCTACTATTTTTTGACATTAATTTTCGTGATTTCAATAACTGAGATCCTAAGTCAATTGAAGCTAGATCACTATGGAAAACCTGAAAGCACTGGATGGCCGTTTTGTCCTATTGCGGGACTCCTCAGCAATGTGCATCCACGATCCTACCTCGCGAGTTTCGAACACAGGATCTATCAGTCTCGCCGGCCCGCATCGAATGGTGTTAATGTCTAACTTCAACTAATCCACAAAATTGAGCGGCACATCCACAACAGTCATCAGTGAGTTCCTATCTTACAATAGACTCCACTGATTATTGCTTCTCATTAGAACTCCAGGATATACATCATGAAACCAGTCAATAGTGAGCATATGTTGATTAGTATCAGAAGGGGTTTTATGAAGATTTTACTAATTTCAATAGTTAAGATTATGGTGGTCTAGCTTCAGTTGACTAATAATCTCCACTATTGAAATGACTACAATATCCACAAAACCCCTTCTGATATTAATTTTCGTATCCAATTCTATTTTCTGCAACTTTCTTTCACTTTTTCTAACTCCTATTCATATCATATTATTTGATCACTCATCTTATATATATATATATATATATATATATATATATATATATATATATATTTGACAGAGCGAAATACAGAATGACGAGACGGTTAAAAAACTAAACTCTTAAAGATTTCTATGGGCATTCTATATAATGAAAATGGAATTAATACAAATGTATCAACTACCATAGATTAAGAAAAGATTTCAGAAACAATACACAAAGCCTTAACCTGATCTAATTTCTTACCATACAATAACAAACAATAAGAACTGTGCACAATTATAAAAAGAAAAAGAAAAAGAAAAGGACAAAAAGAAAAATGATTAACTTTCTTTTATTGTTATCATCAATATACAAATCTTAACATTTGACATTCCTATTGATGTATATTATCAAGTGAATATAATTATAAATATCAGGCTATGAATCTCTGCATGTGTATGTATGTATGTATGTATGTATGTGTAGATATATGTAACCGAAATATTGATCATCAGCAAAATTTATCAATAATAAATTTCTTGAGAAGACAAAAAAAAGAAGAACCGAGTCACTTATTGATTTTATGTAACTCAATTAGAAATGATGAATAGTCCCAGTGTAAATAATGATTTGTCTCTATAGATAGTTATATATATATATTGTTTCCAATTGAATAGTTTAAATGAAAAACATGTTGTTTTTTTGAAAGAAAATATTAAATCAATCTAATCAGGATTCATTCAATTATTGATTATTGATATTCTGGAATAATTATTGATTTTAAAAGTAATTGATTGTTAATAATAATAATAATGATCATAAAAAGAACTTTTGTTTATCTTTTACAATGTAATCACTGATAATAATAATAGTAATAATAATAATAATAGTAATAGTAGTATACCTGAAAGTCATATAAGTTACTTAAAATAACATATTGCCTCTGTTTAGATCCAGAATAATTGTTCATATGTATCATATTAAATACAATTTAAATATGATTAATTTTCTGTTACATTTTCATCAGCTTTATTACATTCTTCAGGTTGCTAAAATAATTGAAAGTTTTAAAATTGAATGAATATACACATTGAAAAACTATAAATGTTAATGAACAATTGTATATTAAGCAGAGATGAATGATAGTTAATAGTGGAATCTAAAACATGAAAGATGAATAATACTCTCTTTGACTCCCAAAGTGGACATCAATTCTGGGATGCAGTTACGTCCGGTTGATGAGTCTCAAATAGAATGAAATCTATATGTCATCGATTACACTGCTAGCCATCATTCATTTAAGATTAATTGATTTAAGACAATATCCTAGTAATCTGCACCAGATACAATTAAGCCAATCAGAGATTAATCAATTATAGTCTTAAACATTAAGTGGAAGATCCTAACAACCAGTACAAATGAATAAAACTGTCTTCATGTTTAACAATATTGAACGATAACTGATATTAGGTGAAATTGATTATACAATTGAAAACTGTTGAAATTAAACAATAATAAATATTTTAATAGTTCAATTCATGGGTTGATTATTGCTAGACCATTATGGAAAACCTGGAACCAATGAATGGTTGACTCGTTCTAGTATAAGATTCCTTAGCAGTGTGCATCCACGATCCTGTTCTCGACAGTCTAGTGCTTCCAGGTTTTTTCATAATGGTCTAGCTTTAATCAACTCATGAATTCAACTATTAAAGCGACTAAAATCTTCACAAAACCCCGTAAATATGTTTACATGATCAGTTTGAAATTACCTTTTTCAGTCATAATAAATATACATTTCCCTACTGTATTTAAACGATAACAATTGAATAACATTCCCTAAAAATTGGTTCTCATTTCTTATCCCCAAAAAAAACAAATGATTTGAAAGCACAGAATAGTAGACTGATACTTCTTCCTGATTCGTATATCAATCGAACTAAACAAGAAAATATCACATACAAATTGGATTTATATATAAGAAAGTGATTAGGTAAGACAGGAACCAAATGTTATATATATGTTTAAATCAATACATAATTCGTTTTATTCAAACACAACATCTAGACATTCAATCACAGCAACAATTATAACAAAGTGATCATTCAATAACATTTAAGTGTATAATATAAACTAACTTATCACTGAACTAACTAACTAGTAGACTAATACATGTTTTGAATATCTACTAACATATATACTCACTTGTATATAACAATGAATCAAACTGTTTATAAACAATTCATATACACCTGCCGAATCACCAACAAAGTGGAAGGATTAAGAAGCTTTCATTAGGAAACGGAATAAAGTATGTATAAGTCATGTGTATATATACATCTGTCCTTCTGAACCCGATGCCAAAATATTGGCTGATGTTTTTCACTAGGTGAACAATCAACTTCATCTAACAACGTGTCGTGTTTATCATTTCCCATCTACTGTTTAACATTGTGATAGTTTGTGGGGATGAGTACATAATATAATGTTTAAATCGATACATAATTCGTTTTATTCAAACACAACATCTAGACATTCAATCACAGCAACAATTATAACAAAGTGATTATTCAACAACATTTAAGTGTATAATATAGACTAACTTATCATTGAACTAACTAACTAACTAACTATCTAGTAGACTAATACATGTTTTGAATATCTACTAACATATATACTCACTTGTATATAACAATAAATCAAATTGTTCATTAGTAACTATGTATACTTTCAATATTATTAGAATACAATGGTTGACATGGTGTACAAAATTTTATTAAATGTTTATGATTTATTTTTGAAATATTCATCTAAATTGATCAATGTTTCATTTATTTGTTTTAATTCATAACCAAATAAGAGAGAGAGAGAAAAAAACGATGGACGATTGCAGATGTATTACATAATCAAAATTAAAAACGAAAAAATAAAACAAAAAAGAAACAAAACGACGATGAAATAGACTAACCTTTATGGAAATAGTATTACACTGTCATGACTTTATATTGTATATTACATAATAGAGGTGAGATTTTTTGGCAAATGAAATGTAATTAAACTATGATCACTGTGTATTCAATCTACATTTGGATATCAAGATCATAAATTAATAGTACCAAAAGATATCCTAATTTATAACTGAAACATTCTTTATATTTACACTGACCTTACATATTGAATATTTTGAGACATTTATTAGGGTGATGTTGATTATTGTAGATGTAGATTGAAAGGAAACCTATGATGGTCAAACCAAGAAGTGGTATCAATTTATGAAGTGATTGATAGTTGAACTTAACTATGTTGAATGCTTCCTAATTGGATCCATGAGATCAACATGATCATTGACTGGAAACTTTATGTAATATCGTTTAAATATCACTCATACTAGTGAAGATATATTCACTATTTATTTGTTTTTAAATCATGAGTTTTAGAATTTGTTCATTTACAAGTTTTCATTCCGTTACTTCTAATCATCATCGCTACTGATGTCAACAGATATAAGTAGTATGTATCATCAATCGAAAGTAAAATGTCTGGCACCAGAAGGTTATGAAGAAAAAATAATGAGAACAGAAAATGATTGGTATAGAAATGAAGGAACAATAATGTCAGATGATCGATTAATATTTCGCAAATGAAGGATTTATTGTATGGTTCTCAGATTTTACTAAAAGATTCTGTAATTTTGTGTTCAAATATATTTGGTTGTCCCCAATAGTGATCTCGTTCATTACACTATGAATAAGGATGGTTGTAAAAATTGTTCACCTTAAAACGTTATATCACTGACCGAATTCAGTTAGACAACCTGTACAGGACTCTTCATCAGCGCTGATCAAATCGAGGACCTTCATTACACTCTATAAGTGATGAAACTATAGAACACTAAGTCGATATTCAATTAATTCACGTCGATTCTCAAAGATCTTTAATGTCAATCGTAGGTTTTTATGATTTGTCCAACTAATATCTTTTCATGTAGTAAACTATAAAGTATTTTTGATAGGAGATGACAAGTTATTCTAAAAAAATGTTTCTCTTAACGTATTAATGAACCAAATGATTACAACCCGCCATTTATGTACTATGTTCTGTATGTGAGAGGGACGAGATTCTCACTAATAGTTAGGTTCAATCTAAATTTCTTTACGTCACTTAGGAATTATTTACTGAAATACTAGATTACAAAAGGTGTTATATTCTAAACTGAATAATAAGAGTAACATTATATGATCCAGCTATGGTAAAATGACCCGATCAAATCAAGAGGAAAACGGCTCTTAGATCATACATAATAAGCATTATTGAATGTCATTCATGGTATAACTTTGTGAGTTATTAAAGTATCCATTAAATCAAATGTATTCACTTATGGTAACAATGCAATTAAGACTAGTAGATTAGTAGCGTTGTCTCTTGTTGATTATCTTAAAGATTAGTGATAGCAATTACTAAACGTTCTAGTGTTCTATCAATTAAGATCTAAAATCTAAATTTTATTTACTTATGAATTGTCACTCTAGTGTCAATATTAACATCCGCAATGAGTTGCTTTTAATCCAACTGATAAAGCTAGAAATACACTTTTAGAATCTCACTGCTAGTTGTTATCAGAAATAATGTAGCTTTAAACAATTTACTGGAATATTCACCTAAGTAACTTATAAGCTAATAAAGATTGATTGCATTGCCGAAGCAATAGCCATACATCTGGAAAAACCAGAATTGTGTGTGCAAAAGAGACTGATACAACCTCTTCTTCTACTATGGTCTTAATGTATTAAAATTTTTCCCTTTTTTTACTCTTTCTCCTTTACAGCCATCTGTTTCACCTTCCATCTTCCCCAAAAGACAATCGTTGAACTTTAGAAAAGCAGAGATATAAAGATTTACACTGATTGCTTTAAACAAAGACTAATTTCGAAAGATTTTTTTCTTAGTTGCAGTGAAAATTTATAACCATTTCAGTTTAATAGTGTTAATTGCAAAAAGGTAATTATAACAAATGGCAAGGGATGGTATGCACATAACATTATGAATCGACTAAAGCTGGAAATTTAAACTATTGAATATTGTGTTTATTTTTTTAAATGTTGAATGCTCATTATTAGTCTAAATGTTTATGGGTTCGATTCATACTGAAGTCGTGAAAAGACACTTCTAAGAAGTCCCAGTATAGAACAAAATAGTCATTCATTTATCTCCGTTTTTCAACATTTTTTCTGATTGAATTCAGTCCGTAATGTAAACTGTAATAATATCACTTATAAAATGTCCTTTGAATTGATAAACTATATCAGTCAGTCAGTCAGTCAGTCAGTAACAACGTAGAACTTTGTACGTACGTACGTACATCAGTTCGAGTTGCCATACCACATTAGAACAGAGATGCCATTGTCGATTCAAATCTCATAGCGGTAGAGGTAGTAATCGGAAAGTTCAGGATTTGAAGATGTTGTTCAAGAAGTATAACCCAGTGAAATAAATTTGCAAAGAGAAAGAAAATGGGACATGAAGAATTTGGGAGAACACAAATTGTGGAATGCACTTGCGTTATCGCAAACGATTTTGAGCCATGTCATTCAAAGTCTCTAACCATCGGTTGCTATATAGTCAAAAATAACAAATATAGTACTTAATTGATTAGCCTATTCCTATCTAATATTGACAATATATCGGAAATATATGGTGTAAATTAATCTTTTTTGTGTGCTAAAATTCTAGTGTTCTTTATTTTCTAAAAATGTATGCTTACATTTACATCATTTGTTTGATCTAAATGTGGTTGTTGTTCAGTAATCGCTGAAACTTCTGGAGTTTCTTCATTGTATGGAATTTCTTCTTTAGGTTCATCATGTTGACTATTGTTTAATGTAAGATCCATTTGTTCACTTGATAATACAGGAACAATGTAGTTGGTGTTTGTTTCTTTGTGTTCTTCAGCTTTTATCTCTGAACTGTTATCATGACTATCACTTGTCGATTCGGCTACTTCTATTCAATAATAAAGCGAAATAATACCACAGATAAAAAAATTTAATTTTTATGTTCATGCATTAATAAATTCCCAGAAGATATTGATTAGATTTAGACTGTACGAAGCTGAAACTTGGAGAACTACTACAACCACCATCAAGAAGGTACAAGTATTTATAAATAGTTGTCTACGCAACATACTCAACATCCATTGGCCAGATACCATCAGCAATAGCCTACTGTGGGAGAGAGCGAACCAGCTTCCATCTGAAGAGGAAATGTAGAAAAGACGTTGGAAGTGGATAGGACATACATTACCGAAACCACCAAACTGCATCAGGAAACAAGCCCTAACTTGGAATCGTAAAGGAAAGCGGAGAAATGAGGAAGGCCAAATAACATATTACGTCGGAAAGTAGAAAGTATGAAAAGTATGAATAACAACTCGAAAGAGTTGGAAAGGACAGGGTTGGATGGAGAGTGCTGGTGAGCAGCCTATGCTCCTCCACGAGGAGTAAGGGGCGTACGTTAGTAAGCAACAGTTTATTTTTGTAGTTGGAAACGTCTGAATCTTAAGCTTGAAATTGAAAATGGGAGAGAACATATATTTTTGGTACCGTTTCTTGTTTATTTTTGCAAAACACAGTCAATCTATAAATGGAGACAGTATAGATGATCTATTTATGATAGTCACATGTACAATTGTTACTAATTATATATCAATATAGATCTAGGCATATCCAATTGTCCAGTCCTGAATAAAACGAAAAATACTGGTTCTGTATTGTTCTTTTATATAAAGTGGGAATTTTTCCACATATGACTGTCATAATCAACAGTTCATTCGATGTAGATAGATCAGCCTAATAGCTGAATATATCCTTACTATTAATTTCAAATTATTCTTTTCAGCTATTTCATTACCCTTAAATCAAAGTCTTAAGAAGAAAGGCTTCTTCTTAACCACAGCATATTCTATTAACTTCATTTTAGTCTTCTCATAGAGTCTAACTTTGATCAATTCATCATAGTTTTCTGACACAACTGAAAAACATTCAAATCAAAGTTCTTTAATAGTTTATTGGATAAACTCTATTTATGTTCTAGAATTTATGTTGATAATGTTATTCAGAAAAAACAATGAAAGCTCTACGACCAAACCATTCAGTTCATAGAACGAAACTCCATCAAAATTTATGTTTTTACTCCAAAATATTCTTATATTTAACCTATAAATATCCACATTGGTTAGCATACAAACATCTCCTATAGTTCTTACAATCCTATTGCTTTGTTCATGAATCTTCATTGATTAGAACATTCCAATGTTATAATATAAAGGAAGTAAGTTGATTTCTCATGTTTAAAGGTTTTAGGCAGCTGATGAGAAACCGCAAACTATAATGAATTCATGTATTGAAAGTTTACATTTATTGTTTTTGCTTTAGATAAATTCAAGTTTCAATTATCAAGCCATTTTAATAATGTATTTACTACTTATTTCTTTATAAAGTATATGTAACATTCTATTATACTCATTCGATCTTACAATAATCAGTAAATTATTGAGAAAACAATTAGACTGCCGAAGTGACACATCAACTCTGAGATGCAAGTACATCCAGCTGATGAGTTCCAAAGAGAACAAACACACTTCCTAGATTCCACCACTACTCACTGTCCATCTTTGCTTAACACAACTAGTTAGTTTTTAACGGATATTCTAGAATCGAATACATGAAATCATTTGAATAGATTCTGATATGATGGAAAAAAAAAGTTAATTTTTGATTGATTTACTAATTATGAGTTTTGTTCAACATTATTTCCGTTCTGATTCAATATGATGATTATTCAGTGTAGTATTTGTTTAGTTTTCTCGTATGACATTTTATTCTGTATAATATACAATATTCTTGTATTCAATTGACAACGAACTATCCTCAGTATGTGGTTTATTATGTCTCTAAGTATCTTTCATATATGTGATTTTATTCTAATTATTAATCAAAATGGGTGTACAATCAATATATAAATGTGTTTTTGACTATCATCTTTGTCGTATTTTGAGGTTAATAAATCTTCACTTATACCAGTCTTTGTGTTCTTACTTTCGCGTCGTGGGAATTGTGGAGGTCCCTTCGTTCTGAGTATAAGTGATCAGCGTTTTCCGACACAACAATCAGCGACGACCAGATACAAAAAGTAGCATTAAAAGAACCAAGACAATAAGTAATCAAACGACAAGTTATACCAGTTTCCTACTAAGGTCTAACTTCACAATCCCTTTAACTACAAAAAAAATCAACGTCGGCATTCACAATCCATTAATCAATAATATAACCTAAATGTTTTCTTTCGGACATTTTCATGAAAGTCACCATAATCAATGTACGAATTCTATATAAAATGAGTTTTAAGCTAAATAATAATCGATTTTGTCAATATAAATCGGTTTTAGAGTTAAATGAAAATTTGTGAAATCAGATCAACTTGTATGAAGAATAAAATGAAATAAAATTTATTCAACTAAGAATAACGTATAAAGAAAGAATGGAAGGAACTTTTCGGTTCTTTTCTTTTTAAAAGAATCAAAATGAACGACAAATTTTTCTTGTCAGTTTATAAAAATTTAACAACTGAATATAAGACTCTTCAACAGTGCCCATCTACGATCTCGAAACCAGAAGCTCTGGTCTCACGCGCAAATGCTCAACCTAGGTTTGGATCATTGATGCGCACTACTGAGGAGTCTCATACTAGGATGAAACGGCCGTCAAATGCTATCAGGTTTTCAATGGTGGTCTAATATCAATCGATTCATGATCTCTATCAAAAACTTAACAATCTCCACAACCTTACACTGCGTACTCATTCCAGTGACCTTATGTATTAAAGCCATGTCTTTATTTGGCCAACTTAAACTAATTTTATGCCAGAAAATATTACACATTGAAGTAGGCGGTAGTCGAGGATGCAACAGTTACACTCTAACTACTTTAGTCCATGAAGATTCACCACCTGACCAGATGATATGCTTTTTTTTACTTAGTACTCTTATTTTAACATTTGCATAGGTCAGGTTGAAAGTGCTTTATGGAGATGGCTTCTAGAAACCAGCTTGATAGTTAACTTGCTAACAAACTATCCAAGTGTAAAATTATTTCCTAGTTTTATCTATAGTAAACTTCTTTTTGTTGAAAAAGATAAAGATGGTTTAGCAAACAAAGTAATTCCATGTTCGACAATATCTATGACCTGGACTTTAAGGTTTACTTGATAGTTATTTATAATACATATGATTGTTAACTAGGCAAAATAGAGTATGATTGCTTTATTATTTTAAAGTGTTTGAAAATTTCACTTATCGAAATATCACGGGACCTACAGGTCTTGGATTCGATCCCCAATGATGACATGGATGTGTTATTCTGTTAAGCCGTATACTTGAACAGAACAGCTGTCCAGCACTTTCTGTTCACCTATTGTTTAACCAAAGTTAATCCGTGATAACAAACTTTAAATATAGAAAGCAGCTTATATATTGATAAGGACGATGATTAGAAAATGACAAAAGTGGTTTGGATCATGACCGTGTTACATTCATCAGAGTTCATACTTGAATTTTCAATTTATAATAGTATGTCAGTTTTTCAGTCATACTCACTTCTTATCAACTAGTTTGAGCAAGCAGATGACTGAGGGTAATAAGTGCGGTTGGGCAACTTGAATCAAAATTAACGCGTTGTAGAATTTACTCATCGATTGACCTGTACTCTTCTTTTAACGACAAAATACTAATGACTAGATATGTGACTAGGAAGAGGCTATTTTTCCTCCCAATACAAATTAACCAACAAGAGTTAGTTCGCTTTTAGGTACACCTTTTTATGACTCAAAATGATGGTTTATCATGAACACATTAATCAATCGGAGGTCATCTGATAAAGGTAATATGGAACTATCAAACGTATTAATTATTTCAGTTAGGAAATATGAACAATGAATCAACATGATGGTGTCATACAAAGATTATATTACTAGATTATATTGAGTAAACCATAATGATGAAAGATTAGGTAATTTCTAAAAGATGTGTAAAAGTACAAGGCATGTAAAACTAATAAGATATCAGTGGATGAGTGTGCAAATGAATTAATATAACTAAGATATCTTTTACATCTAAAACCTGTTTTATTAATATCGTTGTTTTAATGATTATGGAATTTAAAGAAGAGATTGTTTAAAGTTGTTATATATTAAGAATTTTAAATGTCTTTTCAACAGTCTGATTGCTGAGGTAAATTCATGCTATCCGTGTTCAGCAAAAGTCTGTAATGTTAGAATTTACGAGCTCACTAACACATAAATAAGGAAATATATATGAAGGGCCATTGAAATATCACTAGGCTCTAATCAAATCATTCAGCAGTCGGGTAATAACGTTTTTTGTGTTGTACGGTTATCAAAGCAGACATAGTACACCTGGATTCAACAAAAGGGTAGTTCACGTGTGAATTTAACGTTAACTTGTTGGTCACACAATTCCTGTCTAATTTGAGTAGGCCCTTAATCATTCAATTCAGATCATCTACTTTAGTGATCCATTATATAAACATATGTGGAACATTATGAAAGCGTTGTACTTCAAAATGAACGAATTCTATTTGCATGATGAACGTAGTCTGATCGAGAACATATTAGTTTAGTTCAATAAAACTTCAGTTTATAAATTTAACAGTACATTAAAATTATCACCTTTAAAATATTTCTCATTTACGGTAATGAACTTATTCAATTCCTTTATGACTGTTTAGTTATTTTTACAAGTTTTATTATATCAAGTTTCATAGCTGCTTTACAGTTTTATACATTTAGAACGCAAAGGATAATGTAACACGGTGATTGAATTAATCTCAAAAAACTCGTTGAAAATATACATATATATTTCCGTAATTCAATAATCATCTCTTACTCTCACAAGCTACTTGTTAAGCACCTGAAAGACCTCAAATAAA